AATGTTTTCAGAATGGACACACAGGAGAACAGAGCTGGAAAGTAGGTTAGTGGGGTGGGGAGGGAATGGGGATTTTTGCAGTCACCTTCCCCTGCCACGCCCACCAAGCCATGCCCACAGAACCGGTAGTAAAAAAAAAATTTAAATCCCACCGCTGACTCCGTGGCTTAAAACCTCCTTGAATTTTTTTTTTCCCCTCAGCATCCCGCTGAGAAGTCAGCATCATGACTGACGCGAAAGCTCTCCTGAGGAACAAGCCGACCCAACGGTTCAGGAAATCGCTGCCTTCCTGCGAAGCAAGCAAGATGACCGCCGAGCAGAAAGCGCGCTATTTGGCCTTTGCCGACCCCACCAAGCCGGACGTGAAAACGATGCTGGCCGCGGCTCTTATGAAAGAGAAGAAAGCCCTAGACAATCAGCCAAAGGAAGTGGAAAATAAAAACCTGATCGGGGTCCTCAAGGCTTCCGAAGCGCGGAACCGCCTTCGGAACTCAAGGCTCCAGTACCAGCATTTGAGAGTGAGTGGCCTTGGGGTTCCTGCTTAGCCTTAGAATAACCAAGTAAGAGAGTCGGAAGGGACCTCGGAGGGCTTCTAGTCCAACCCTGGGGACAGGGGCCCATGAACTGGGCCATGAGCTGTTCTGAACAGGGCTGAAGAAGCGGTAGGTCCAACGATCAGCTGTTGGGCCTGTCTACCCTGGCTCTATTCTGTGCTTTATATCCTGGTTTTCAAGCTCAGTTGATTCGCACGACACAGCGGACTGTTGCGTTTCAGCTGTTTAACACAGAGAGGTTGGTGGAGAAGGTCAGGAGCAAACGCTGTACACGTGCGCAAAACACGCAACTCACCAAACCGGTTGTTACACCAGTTGAATCCCATCCCTGCAGCGGCCCTGGCAAAAAGTTTCTCTCGTAGGCTAACAAGTCTGTCCAGCAGGGAGATGAATAGTGGTTTCCCACATCTATTTATCTCCACCCCCTGCCTTTTATCCCCAGAGCTAGGGTGGGGCTTTGCTAGCAGAGGTGGCTCTTCCGTCCCAAGGACCGGCTCATAGATTTCCACTGTTCTCCTCTCCTCTGCCTTCTGTGCATCCGCACCTCAGGCACTGGGCCCAGCTGTTCCTTCTTTTCCTCATCAGCTACCTCCAGACCTGGGAGCTGTTGACTCTCCACCTGAGGGCTGATGGATGGCCCAGGCTCTGCCTCCGTCTCTCTCTCTCTCTCTCCCTCCCTCCGTCCCTCCCTCCCTTCCTCCTTCCCTCCATGAATGAGTGAGTGAGTGAATGAATGAATGAATGAAGATCTCCAGTGATGGAGCACCTACAAGGTCTGAAGGCAAGTCCTTCCATCGATTAATTGTCCTCACTGTCAGGAAATGTCTCCTTAGTTCTAAGTTGCTTCTCTCCTTGATTAGTTTCCACCCATTGCTTCTTGTCCTGCCTTCAGGGGCTTTGGAGAACACAATAGCAGGGTAACAGAGTTGGAAGGGACCTTGGAGGTCTTCTAGTCCAGCCTCCTGCTCAGGCAGGAGACCTTTATATCATTTCAGAGAAATGGTTGTCCAATCTCTCCTTAAAAGCCTCCAGTGATGAAGCATCCACAGCTTCTGGAAGACATTCCTCTGATGAATTGTCCTCACTGTCAGGAAATGTCTCCTTAGTTCTAAGTTGCTTCTCTCCTTGGTTAGTTTCCATCCGTTGCTTCTTGTCCAAGTGGTCGTAAAATCATCCTGTGATCAGGGCATTTTGTAAGTTTGAACGGTCACTAAATGAATTGAGAGTAAGACAAGCGCTGCTGTGATGGCCAATGTCACCTGTACAGGGACTCCTCGGCTTGCAACAGTTCGTTTAGTGACCGTTTAAAGTTACAACGCCACTGAAAAAGGCGACTTATGACCGTTTCCCCACCGACCATCGTAGCATCCCCTTTTGTCACACGATCAAAATTCGGACGCTTGGCTCCAAACTGGCTCATATTTATGACGGTTGATGCGTCCCAGGGTCACGCAATCCCCTTTTGCGACCGTCTGACCAGCAAAGCTCCTGGGGAAGCCAGATTTCGCTTCACAGCCAGGTTACAAGCTAAACAACCGCAATGATTCACGTAACAACCATGGCAAGCGAGGTCGTAAAAATGGGAGCAAAGCTCAACTTAACAACTCTTTCGCTTAGCAACCCCACAAAAATTGGGTTCTCGCTTGACTGCGGTCGTAAAATCAAGGACTTAACCTGTAATGCGCTTACCTGTAATGCGCCGACATCTCTCGCCCGCAGTTCACCTTTGTTTCTTTTGGCTCCAGGCGCAAGAGATCAACTTCCTGATCTCCTTTCAGAGGAACGCAAAAGGTGCAGTAAGGTTGGAGGTCTTCCTCCCACCCAAGAGAAACATTGCCAAATTGTCTGACTGCATGGACACCATCCAGGTAAATGTTTAGCTACAGAAACTTATTCGTTTGTTTGCTTGTTTGTCAAACATCTACAAGATAACAATTATAGTATGAACCTAAACAAGAACAAAGGAAGGAAGTACAGATAAATGGGAATAGTAAGACAGGGACGGTAGGCATGCTGGTGTGCTTATGCATGCCCCGTTTAAGGACCTCTTAGGAATGGGGTTTGTACCCTAACATGAATCCCAAATGCTGGAAATACAAACAGAACCATGGTACCTTCTATCATATGTGGTGGTCATGCCCGGACGCCCAAAAATAATCAACCAAAATATGGAATTGGATACAAGAATAATTGGATACACCAATAAGACCAAGGAGCTGTAGAAGGAACAGATCAGACATCCAGCCCTTGCTTATCAATGGAGACTGAGTGGAGCAAGTGGCCAGTTTTAAGTTTCTTGGTGTTACCATAAAAGAAGATCTGATCTGGGGTGCTCCCATTGCAGCCCTGGTCAAAAGGGCCCAGCAGAGATTTTACTACCTGAGACTTCTCAGAAAACAACAATTGAATGAAAAACTGCTGGTGACCTTCTACCACCATAGAGAGTATCTTAACTTACTGCACCCCTGTATGGTTTGCCAATTGCACAGGGGCAGATAGGACAGCACTCCAGAGGGTTAATGTCATTGCCCAGAAGATCATGGGTTGCCCTCTCCCCTCTTTGGAAGAGCTTTATAGCTCCTGCTGCCTTAAGAAAGTTCAAAACATTCTCAAAGATCCATCTCATCCTGGGCACCCCCTTTTTTTGAACTATTACCATCTGTCAGACAATACAGAATAATAAAAACAAGGACAAATAGGCTGAAAAACAGCTTCTGTCCCAGGACAGTAGCTCTATTGAATTCTACTGTATAGTGCAGTGTCGGTGCAGTGTGTGTACGTGGGTGGTGGTGGTTCGGTTCGATGTGTGGAGTGTGAAGGATGTGTGTTTGTGTTTATTTTTCATGGTCATGATGTGCACTGAAGATGGTGTTTGATTTCATTGTACGAGGTGCAATGATAATAAACTGAACTAAACTAAGAAATAGTGGAAGATCAGATAGAGTTTAAACCGGAATTGTTCTTGTTGAGAATAATTAAAGGGAAATATAGGAAAAAGATTAAATATATATTTATTACATATACTGACAGCAATAAGGATAGCATTTGCACAACGTTGGAAACAAAATAATATGCCCCCAGAGAAATTAGCAATTCAAATATTTTTAGATTGTGCTGAAATGGATAAATTGACGTTAAAATTAAAAGCTAAAGAAGAGGCAGAGTATTACAAAATTTGGGACAATTGGTATAAATGGTTGAACAGTAGAAATAAGGATAACAAAGATAAGAAAATTATAAACATATATGAATGTATGTAAATGTAGATATTTATATGAGATTGGCTTATATAATAATGATGGCACAGTACTGTTAATATTAAGATTAAGATATGTAAAAGGTGAAAAAAGAACAATAAAAAAATTATTGGGAAAAGAAAGGAATGGGGTGAGGTCCACGTTAGACCATTTGAGGTTGAAGCTGCGAGGGGCTGAGGCTGTAACAACGGAGTTGAATAGAGCATTCCAGGCGTTGACCACTCTGTTGCTGAAGTCATATATTCTGCAATCGAGTTTGGAGCGGTTTACCTTGAGTTTGTACCAGTTGTTTGCCCATGTATTATTGGCATTGAGGCTGAAGAAGTTGTTGATGGACAACATGTTGTAGCAGACAATTTTGTGAACTATGTTTAGATCGGACTGCAGGCGGCGCAGTTCTAGATTGTCCAGGCCCAAAATTTAGAACCTGGAGGCATCTTCCCCAATACAGATAGCTATTAGACTGACTCTCTCAATAAAAGCAATAAAGCTCCCTTAATCAGAATAGAGCTGAAAGGGACCTTGGAGATCTTCTAGTCCAACTCCCTGCTCAAACAGGAGACCCTAAACACTTTGAGACGAATAGCAGTCCAATCTCTTCTTAGACCTCCAGGGATGAAGCACCAATAACTTCTGAAGTCAAGCTGTTCCACTGGTTAATTGTTTTGTCAGGAAATTTCTCCTTAGTTCTAGGTTGTCTATGGAGCTTCTCAGTCATCCAGGCCATGGTTGTCCCAAAAGTGGTTTTTTCACCACACCTATTTGCTCCTATTTGAACACAGAAGAACCTCCAAGTGGCCTCAATGACTCTCTGACTAAAAGCATGCAAATGACCAGCTGTCTGCAAGGAATATAAATCCTTCCATTCCCCACCATCCAGTCAGAGCTGAAGAAGCTTCTTGGATGAGAAGCGAAACGTCTTCAAAAGAAAAAATCAGAAAGTCCAGTTGCCTCTTGAAAAAAAGCACTTTTAGTTCAGGTTGCTTCTCTCCTTGATTAGTTCCCATCCATTGTTTCTTGTCCCGCCTTCTGGTGCTTTGGAAAATAGATTAACCCCCCCTCTTCTTTCTGGCAGCCCCGCCAATACTGGAATCCTGCTATCATGCCACCCCTAATTCCTTCTTTTCTCTAGACCAGTGCTCTTCAAACTTGACAGCTTTAAGACTTCAACTCCCAGAATTCCTCCTCCAGTGATGTCTTAAATATTGGAAGACTGCTATCATGTCTTCCCTGGTCCTTTTCTTCACTAGACTAGCCATGCCCAGCCATGCCAGATGATGCCAAGAATATGTCGGAGACAGCATATATATATATATAGTGTTCAACTTTCTCTCCTGCCGTGTGTAAAGGTCCAAGACTCGCTGTAGTACAAGCTCAAGACACAGGCACTATAGACCTGAATCTTTGTATGTTCTTTCAGCTTCTTATTAAGCTATTGCTCTCTTTGTATGACATGATAGCAGTCTTCCAATATTTGAGGGGCTGCCACAGAGAGGAGGAAGGGGTCAAGCTATTTTCCAAAGCTCCTGTAGGCCAGACAAGGAATAATGAATGGAAACTGATCAAGGAGAGATTCAACCTGGAAATAAGGAGAAACTTTCTGACAGTGAGAACAATCAACCAATGGAACAGAAGATGCCCTTGAAGTTGTGGGAGCACCATCACTTGACTTTCAAGAAGAGATTCGACTCCCACCTGTCAGAAATGGTGTAGGATCTCCCGCTTGGGAGGCGGGTTGGACTAGATGACCTATAAGGTCCCTTCCAACTCTGATTATCTGTTAAGTCGGGAAAATGTGGTGGGCACTTTACCAATTTGTCTATTCAGCTCAGTGTCTAAAGAGAGAGTGTCGGAGATAGTTGAGCTTAAGTACACAAAGTCATGGACATCTGTGTTACTAACTTTAACAGCAGCAGTGATTCCCTTAACGGTGGCAAGAAAGGTCATAAAATGGTACAAAACTCACTTCGCAACTGCTTTGCTTAGCAACAGAGATTTTGGGGCTCAATGGTGGTTGTATGTCAAGGACTACCTGTATATGGAAATGGGCTTTAAAATGCTGGGTGACTTGGCCAGAGTACTAAAAAGCTATTTTTAAATAAAATAAAATAATACAAAACAAAACAAAATAAAAATAAAAATAAATCAAACCTAGCAGGGATTTTCTCCTATCTAATTATGGGGAGCTTTGGTGCCTTCCTAGCTCAGCCAGGGATATTTTAAGCTCAATTGTGGTCCTAAATCAGGGACTAACTATGTATATTTGGGGCAGCTGCTTTCTTAAATATTCCTTTCCTTTTCTGAACTTCTCTCCCCCACCCATTTCTCTTTGTTTTTCAGCGAAGCCGGATTGAGGAGATTCTGGAAGACGAAAGTGGTGAGATCTATATCCGGAGGCCTTGAGTCCTCCTAGAAAGGATGAGGGAAATAGGATGTGGATTAAACCCAGAAAGGGGAAATTTACTCTGAAGCGTTTTGACGTAGCAAACCACGGCTCTTTAATAAACTGTGTGGATTATCAGAGGCTCCAAAAGCAAGTTAGGGAATCTGCAGATGGGTCTATTTTTAGTGCATCTCCTAACAGTTGGAAGGGACCTTGGAGGTCTTCTAGTCCAACCCCCTGCTTAGGCAGGAAACCCTATATACCACTTCAGACAAATGGTTATCCAATATCATCTTAAAAACTTCCAGTGTTGGAGCATTCACAAGTTCTGGAGGCAAGTTGTTCCACTGACGAATTGTTCTCACTATCAGAAAATATCTGCTTAGTTCTGGGTTGCTTCTCTCCTTAATTAGTTTCCATCCATTGTTTCTTGTCCTGCCTTTGGAGAACAGAATTGGAAGAGACCTCGGAGGTCATCTAGTCTGACCCCCTGCTCAAGCAGGAAACCCTACACCATTTCAGACAAATGGTTGTCCAGCCTTTTATTTAAACACCTCCAGTAATGAAGCACCCATAACTTCTAGAGGCAAGCTTTCCCACAGATTAATTTTTCTGTCAGGAAACATCACCTTCGTTCCAAGGTTGCTTCTCTCCTTGATGAGTTTCCATCCATTGCTTCTAGTCCTGCCTTCAGGGGCTTTGGAGAATAGCTTGACTCCCTCTTCTTTTGTGGCAGCCCCCTCAAATATTAACTATGACATACTTAATGAAAAGTTTTGTGTCAGATTTGGGACAATGCTGAATTTGATGAGATTGGCCCTTTTCAGTGCTGCATCTTTCAGCCTTGGAAATCTTATTTTCTGTTGAAGACTTCAACCTGTGTAGATCTAAGCAAATAAGCCTAGGAAAAATAATTCTCAAAATTCATCAGGATGTTAACATATGGGGGGGGGGGGGGGGGGGGGGCATCTTGCAGACCGGAAGGGAGGGGAGAGAGGGTGACTGAAGAATCAAGATGGTGGATGTAGCTGTGCCATAAAAGCTCCTCCCCTTCTATGCAACCCCTGTAAAAGGGGGCGGAGCCTTTGCTTCCTCAGCCACCATCTTGAATTTGGGGACTCACACAAATCCTGTTTGTTTGAAATCTGTTAAATTAGCAGCCAATCCACTTGCTTAAAAGAGGCCTCTCCCTTTTTGGACCCAAAATTGTGTTTTATGTAATTGTGTTGCATTTCCTGCAATTGTTAAGTGTGAGAAGCATAGATAGATAGATAGATAGATAGATAGATAGATAGATAGATAGATA